AACATACTAAGTAAACTAAAGAGACTGCCACAGCTCCGCCTCGGAATGATTGAATGATGCATGCTCGATTGCCTCGCTCGGAAACCCGTTGTCATGCCTCATGTTGCCTCTGTTTGCACTGTTCTGCACCTCTGAGAACTGTGAAAATAAATGTGATGCTTCTGAACCACTTCATGGCCACGCTGAGAGGTCATCGGCCAAAATGTGAGGCCATCGGCCAGAGAACAATGGCCATCGGCCAATTTTGGTGATATCAACCAAAAATTCCTAGCCGATCGACCATCTTTTCCTGCAAATTGCTCCTTTTGCTGCAGCAGAGGACAAACAAGGGCATGGCAATACATTTGCAAGAAAATGTTGTGCACCTATACCCTTTATCATGTTTGAGACTCAAAGGAGTGTAATGTTCGACCCTTGAGCCATCAATCACTCATTTTGATACATGATGGCCAAAGAGGCCGAATTGCACAAATCAATATGAAATGAATGCACAAAAACACATGAATGCCTCACACTCTGTCATGTTGGATCAAGAGTGTCGGCGACCGAGGGTTGAGGCACATTTCGTCACTTCAAGTACGAAACGTCCCTTGGTCCTCGTGTTTGGTTTGACACCCCAAACCAAATACAATGCAATGCATGCAATACAGAAAAGCTATACAATGCAACATAAGCATGACAGATGCAATATGACTCAAGCATGCACACAAGGCTAAGGTAGCAAGCATGCAAAATGTGACCTAAACATACAAACATGCATGGCATGCAAAGATGGACAAGCATGCAACAACATGCAAACTAGCAAGCATGAAACAACATGCAACATGTCAAGCATGCAACAACATGCAAAGATGGACTTAAATCAAAATGGGAGGCCTCAGCCATGCCCAAATCAGTGGCCAAAATGCTAAGAAATGATGGAATGAAATGCAAAATAAGCATGCATGCCAATTGGCCTAAGTACTAGGCAACAATGCACAATCCTCAAACATTAGCAAGAAGTGAAAAGCATGACAATGTGGCAATGAGGTAAGCTATATAATCATGCAAGGAGTGGTGCCAAACCACTCAAACAAGTTGAGCATAACATGCAAGAAAGCTCAAGGCTTAAGGCTAGCCAAGGAGCTTGTACTAAGGCCACATGAATCAAGCCCCAAAGAGCCAAGGGCACCCAAAACAATCCCAAGGCAGGTCAATACAAGACCAAAATCATGCTCGAACCTAGCCAACACAAGCTAGAACAAAAGACCGAAAGCATGAAGCATGCAAGGCTAACAAAGAGGTGTTACACTACACCTATTACAATCAAACATGGCATGACTTAACCGATAAAAATCAAAGTTACGGTATGTCAAAATAAGCCCAAAAACCCACTGAGATGGCATCCTCAAGACCTAAGCATAGAGGCATGCACAATGACCCACTCTTAAGGCATAAAATACCAACTCTTCAAAGCATTGAAAGGATGACAAATGCAAGTGTATGGCTACACTACATGGACTGAAATCACATATGAAATGATGCCAAATCATGAAAATGGTCCAAGCAATGCATGCTAATGACTTGGACACTCAAAGCTAACATGCTAGATTGAACCATGGCTATACAAAATAGTGCATGCATGACCAAGACAATGCAAATCAAAGCTAGGGCATGGTAAAACAAGGCTAAAAGCTCCTTTGAGTTGAGCCAAAACATGCAAGAATGATGGCCGAAATGCAAGATGCATGTTATGCTAACGTGCAAGATTACTCTACAAGTATATGAAGCATGTAAGAGGCTATCAAACCAACTTAAAACAGAGGTATAGCATGGCAAGATAACACCAAATACTTGCTGAAATGGAGTCAAAACAAGCTAAGCAAACATGCTACCCTTATTAGCTAACAATACAAGCATATGAGACATAAGGAGAGGGGGGTGTCCCTCTCCTATTCAAGACTCCAAAACCACTGAAAATCCTCTGGATTTCAGTGGTGAGAAGGTCAAAACAAGATGGTTCCAAAGCTCAAAAGGGAAGGCATAAAACAAGGCAAAACAAGGCCTAAGAGAGGGTATACAACCCCCAACCAAAAAGTGACCTGAAAGAATCATCTCAACTACACAAAATCAGAACTTTTTTCAGTTTAGAGTTAAGCTTAAAACAATATGCAAGTAGGTCTAAAACCTTAAACAAGAATGGGGGATTAAAAGGTTAGTTGCTCACCCTTGAAGAACACCTTCAAGAACACTATTCCAGCAACGTTTCTGAGCTTAAACCACTCCAAGAACTCCAAAACCAACTCTCTAGTGCCTCAGCAATAAAAGGATGGTGTATTGCTAGGTGTTTGTGTGCAATAGTATGAAGAAATCACACTTTTGGGCACAAACAAGAGCAAGGGGAGAGAGAGAGAGAGAGAGGTAAAATATATATATATATATAGAGAGAGAGAGAGAGATATAGAACTTTTATATGAAATTTTTAGAACCTCTGGAAAGGGAGGGGAGGCTCCCTTCTTATAGAATTTCAATTCTCAAGCTTGTTGAACAAGCTTGAGTCTTGAAACAAATCCCTCCATACACGTGTATGGAGGATGAGAATTGTGCCCACCAACTGTCACAGCTGGCAAAAAATATCTGCAAAAAGTAGATAGAAAGGTCTCAGCTCAAAAATATGGCCGATCGACCAAACAGAGTGACGATCACTCAAAAATATGGCCGATCGACCAAACAGAGTGCCGATCAACCAAAAAGAGTGCCGATCGGCCACGTTTTGGACGATGGCAAGAAACCACAGCTGATGGCACAATGCCTTAGCCGATGGGTTGAGGGAATGGTCAACAAGCCACCCTCTTCCCTCAAAAGCAAAACCACAAGTCCTTGGTCCACAACCAATCACAAAACAGACAAGTTGAGAGATCCTAAGGCAAGGCGCGCAGCCGAGACCTTCGGGAACTCAAAACGAACACGAGCATGGATGATCATCGAGTGTTCGAACGATGACGTCCAAGTCTTGAGTACGGTCAAAAATGGGGTGTCCACAAGCTTACATTTGATTATTTTGTTAATTTTGCCTTGGGATTTGGAATAAATAATAATTTTTTTGTTTGTTTGAATTTATAAAAAATAAAGTTGTATGTTCACTATCAGAGGCGGAGGGACATTCAGCTCAGGCGGGTCACGTGGCCCCCCTGACTTTTGAATTTTTTTATTTTATTTTATTTTATTGTTTAAGTGTGGTCTGCCTTCCACACGTAGATTTTGCCCCTCCTAATACACAATTTCAAACCCACTAACCCACTGACACACACACCACACGCACGACACACCCACATTTGTATATATATATATATTTTTTTTGGAATCCCAATCCTAATTAACAATTGACACACAACTTTTTTTTAGGTGAGTGCACACAACTCCAATTACAGCAAGGTTAAAACTCGAAAACCCTAAAAGTGTATGAAATTCTTTATTTTTTTATTTATTCACAGTATTTGTGTAGTATTTTCGTATTTTCTTTGTCTTCTTTGTCTCCCTTTGTTGCTTTGCAATTTACCGACTTGCGATTCACCAAATTAGGATCACACAACCTTGGTATCTTCTCTTCATTGTTTACAAGTAACTTTATTTTTTTTTACTTTTAAATAAAAATTATGAGTATTAATTTATAATTATTTGTTAAGTTTTGATTTGTAAAATTTTTTTATTTGTTATTATTTATGTTAAAATAAGAGATTTTGATATGCTAAAATTATGAATCTTAATTGGTGGTGATTTATATTAAAATTAGGGATTTTGGTTTGTTGTTGTTTGTGCTAAAATTAGGGATTTGATTTGTGCTAAAATTAAAAATACTAATTTGTAGTGATTAATATTTAAATTGGGGATTTTGATTTGTTATAATTTGTGCTAAAATTAAAAATTTTGATTTGTTGTGATTTGTGCTAATTTAAATTTTTTGATTTGTATTAAAATTAGAGATTTTGATTTGTGGGGGGTTTGAGATTTTGATTATGAATTTTTATTTTAATTTTTAGTTTTTTCAAACAGTCATAGAGAAATATTTCAAAAGAAAATCAAAATTAGACTCATCTCTTTCTCAAGAAAAAGATGATAATTATTCTTCTGCAAAACAAAGTTGCATAGAAATTAACTAAATAAACCTTCCTGCAGATCCAAGACTACAGCCTCGGATTATGGACTATAATGATAATGATCGAGACCGAATTCATAGGGCATATCTACAAAAAGGTCCTTGTCAACCTCGTGATCATAATTTTCCACAAAAATCTTTTGGACAAAAACTTTAGCGATTTAATCAAGCTTGGTTTAGTGAATTTCATAATTGGTTGGAGTATAGCATAGCAAAAGATGCAGCATGTTGTTTATGTTGTTATCTTTTCAAACCCGATATTGGAGATCAAGCTGGTGGTGATTCTTTTGTTGGTGAGGGTTTCTCAAATTGGAAGAAAAAAGAAAAAATTCAAACTCATGTTAGAGGTCCAAATAGTGTTCAGAATCAAGTTTCGAGTAAATGTCAAGACTTGTTAAACCAAAACCAACATATTGAAACGATTTTTTTCAAACAATCCGATCAAGCTCGAATTGAGTATCGAACCCGTTTGAATTCATCAGTTGATTATGTTAAATTTTTTCTAAGACAAGGACTTGCATTTCGTGGGCATGATGAATCTGAAAATTCAAGTAACCAAGGAAATTTTCTTGAACTTCTCAAGTTTCTTGCTGATCATAATGAAGATGTCAAAGCGGTTGCATTGAGCAATGCTCCACAAAATCTCAAGTTGACATCTCCTGATATTCAAAAAGACATTGTAAATGTGGCCGCATTTAAAACTATCAATGTGATTATTAGAGATCTTGGTGATGTACTTTTTTCTATTTTGATTGATGAAGCCCGTGACATATCAATCAAGGAGCAAATGGCAATTGTAATATGATATGTTGACAAAAAAGGACAAGTGATTGAGCGCTTTTTGGGTATTGAGCATGTTACTAATATGAATGCTCTCTCACTTAAACAAGCTATGGAAAATTTATTCTCCAGACTTGGATTGAGTATTTCCAGATTGCGGGGTCAAGGATATGATGGGGCTAGTAATATGCAAGGTGAGTTCAATGGTCTTAAAACACTTATACTGAAAGAGAATCCTTGTGCATATTATGTTCATTGTTTTGCTCATCAATTGCAATTGGCACTTGTAGCCGTGGCAAAGAATAATAATCAAATTGCCTTACTTTTCACTTTGGTTTCTAATGTGGTGAATGTTGTTGGAGCATCATGTAAACACCGAGATATTGTTAGGGAGAAACAAGCTGCAAAAGTTGCTGAGGCACATAATAATAGAGAGCTATCTAGTGGGCAAGGCTTAAATCAAGAAACTAATCTTAAACGTGCTGGTGATACACGTTGGGGTTCACACTATGGTACTTTAGCCAGCTTGGCTAGTATGTTTTTAATAGTGATTGATGTGCTTGAAATGATTTCAGAGGATGGTTCAAATTCAGAATAACGAGCAGAAGCAAATGTATTGTTGGACTCAATTCAATCATTTGAGTTTGTATTCAACCTTCATTTGATGAAAATGATATTGGCTATTACAAGTAAGTTATCGCAAGCACTACAAAGGAAAGATCAAGATATTGTTAATGCCATGAATTTAGTTCAAATTTCTAAAGTACGACTCCAAAAGATGAGGCAGAGTGGGTGAACATCTTTACTTGATGATATTTTGTCTTTTTGTGAAAAGCATGAAATTGATGTTCCCCAAATGGAAGATATGTTTGTAGCTCGAGGGAGAAAAAGGCGCAATGCTCAAAAAATTACAAACTTACATCACTATCACGTTGAGTTATTCTACACTGTTTTGGATATGCAAATTCAAGAACTAAATTGTCATGATCCGAACCCGCCCTTATGGATTAAGGTCATAACCAGCCAGTAATCAAGAGATTACCTATGGCCTCAAACCCAATAAAACATATTTCAACAGAGTTAAGGGGCCAAGACGGAAGCAAACTTAAAAATTTTGTCCATAGAGCTGTGCTTACATGGCATATCATAATATCTCACATATACTCGTTAATAACCCACACCAAGGAACGTAACATAGAATTTTACACATACAGGATCGTTCAAGTCATAGTCATCCAAACCAAAAGCTTATATACAAAGGTGATGCGACATGTTCACCAAGATAACAAAAGAGTAAACCAAAAGAAACAAAACGGTGTCTCGTGCGTGAGACATTCAGGCTGACTCCACAAAACTTGATTTTCCTCACATACTTCATCGAGGCTGGGTTTGGACATCTCTTTGCTCACCTACATACACATGAATGAGAGTGAGCGAAAACCCAGTGAATAATAGTAAATAAAGAAAGTACGAATGAAATTTGAAACAGACATATCAAACGGCCTTGGGCCCATCCATGTTTCTATCTGGTACATTAACAGCTTCAAGCCCAAACATATCAAACGGCCTCTGGCCCACTTTGTTCCTAACAGACGGCCTTGGGCCCAATTCGTTCATGTCAAACGGCTTCGGGCCCAATTCACTCTTATCGAACGGCCTCTGGCTCAATCATTCCCATCAAACGGCCTTTGGCCCATTCGTTCATGTCAAACAGCCTTTGGCCCATTTGTTCACGTCAAACGGCCTTTAGCCCAATCATTCATGTCAAACAGCATTTAGCCCAATTATTCATGTCAGATGGCCTCTGGCCTAATCGTTTATGAAATGTGCATTCGTACTTAAGATCATAATCACATCATAATCACATCATAATCATAATTGCAATCCAATGGCCTTATCCAATCATATGGCATAACGAATATTTGTCCACAATTCAAATTAACAAACTTATGAAACTCAAATAGGAGTAAGCAATTGGACAAATAGCATACTTCAAAATATCTTTACTAAGATATTACTCACAGTGTTCTTTATGTTCAATTGAGTGTCATCTCTCCTTCTGAAATTTGAAGCCTTCTGAGCTACATCATTGGCTTTGTTATTCATGAACCTTGGGATATAAGTCACATTTGCTATTTGAAACTGAGAAAATAAATGTAACGCAACAACATAATATGGTAACATGCTTGCACTTTGACATTTGAAAATTCCTTTCACTTGGTTGACTACCAATTAAGAATCTGTAAATATATCAACTGCATGAGCTTGTAATCCAATAAGCATTTCCAGTCCCATTATTAAAGCTTCATATTTAGCTTGATTATTGGAACAAGTAGTTTCATCCACTCTGAAACCATGTGTGGTTTCTACCCCCTGTGGTGATTTAATTATAACACTAATTTCAACCAAACCATTAGCTTTTGATCCATCGAACCACATCTGCCATGGCTCAATATTAAACATACCAAGGTCCATTATCTCTTGGCTTTCTGTTTGACATAGATGGTCTGCCAAAAAATTAGCCATAACCTATCCTTTTACTACCTTTTAGGGAACATATTCGAGATGAAACTCTGATAAGGCTAAAATCCATTTGCCAATTCTTCCTCTTAGCATAGGTCTAGATAACCTGTACTTAACCAAATCTATGGTTACAATTACTAAGACAATAGTAGAGAAAAGATAATATCTTAACTTCATTATTGCAAAGTACAATGCTAAACACAGCTTTTATACAGCTGAGTATTTATGTTCACAAGAATTTAAAAACCTACTAAGGTAATAGATTGCTTGCTCCCTGTCTTCTTCATTGTCCTGAGCTAGAAAACCTCCTACTGAGCCGTGTACTCTCTCTCTCTCTCTCTCTCTCTAGAGTATATGATCAGATTTTGAGCTCAAAAAAAGAAGTTAAGTGTGTTTGGCCCCCTTTATATACACACCCTTAATCAAGTTTCCTTAACACTAGTTAATTGAGCACAATTAAATCAATTTAATCTAATTAATTCGATCCAAATCAATTTTCAATTAAATTTCACCGTATGCTCTAAAAATTACGCTAATCACAACGACATAGTCAATTTCAGTTTCTGATGCCTCTACGGCCTTCAATTTAAATTCTAAAGCAGAAAATCAAACAGATTTTCCTATGGTGAACATATAGAAATACAAAAGCACATATAATCATATAATTATCACTCAAAACCATACCAAGCATATAATCACGATCATAATTGAGATCAATTAGCATAACACGAGACAGGGTTATCACGTAAATGCTCATTTCACTGAGTCGAACACTGAGTTGTTACTTTGTGTGGCATGTTTGAATCCATCTAACTTTTTCTCTAGTTTTGACAGGAAAAAGTTAATTCATCTTGTTGAATTTTATCCCAAAGAATTTTCTTCAGTGGAGCTCATGGTACTTAATGATCAACTTGATACATATATTATCGACATGCTATCCAGTAGTGAGTTCTCAATGTTAAATGGAATTGCCGATCTTGCTAAGAAAATGGTAGCGATTGGAAGAGACAAAGTATATCCATTGGTGTATTTGCTCTTAACTTTAGCATTAATCTTACCTGTTGCAACTGCTACTGTTGAGAGGGTATTTTCAGCTATGAATATTGTGAAGAATCGATTGCGGAACTGAATGGATGAATGATAGCTTGGTTGTCTACATTGAGAGACATATTTTTGATGGTATTGACAATGATACTATTATGGAAAGATTTCAAAAGATGAAAACTGGTCGGGGTCAACTGTAAAAGTTTAAAATTTAAAACTTCTTGTAATGGATATTAATTTTTAATGTTTAACATTAGCTCAAAAAATTATTATTATGTTATTGTTATTGATTGGGTAAGAAAAATTTTGAGATTGTAATTAATGGGTGCCCTCCCTATATTAAATTTCTGGCGCTGCCACTGTTTACTAATATTGTTTTTCATTTTGTATTTCCGTCAAAGGTGGTTTGGTTGATGAGTTTGCACCAAAATCAGCTCAAATCAACTTGAGCACATCCCTACTTTCAACAAGTAGACAATAAGGTTAACAAGGTTGTATTGAAAAATTCTATATCTATCAAAGGTAGTTTCATTGTTGTGTTTGCTCCAAAACCAACTCAAACCGAGCTGTGGACACCCCTACTTTCGATGAGTAGACCATAGGCTTAACTCTTTCACCTTTAGTGAATTTATATATTACTATATATATATGCAACTCAATCTATATATCTGAAGAGAAGGTGTGGTGATGAGTTTATAATAATCTCATTAATCTGATAATTTCTGAGGACGATTTTATAATCCATTCCCAACACACTGAGTGCCTTCTCATATATTCCATTTCTTACGAACACCTTTAATCTTGGATGTTCTTGTATTTTTAGTTTTCGTCATGGCCCCCATTGACTATTAAGAACATTTAAAGTTCTGAAACCTATAATTTTGTCTTGAGTAATACATTACCTGATAGTTTTCCATCTCTAATTTCTACTGACCTTTAGTTGTGTGTAATACTGCACCATCTACCTATTCCTCTTCCTGGTTGTGTTGTCATTTGGACTTTAGTTTGTATTTATTTCAAATTCTCATAGAATTAGCTTGTATGTTGGGTATTGCATGTGTTGTTCTTGAAATATGCTCTATTTTGCATAATTCATGAAGTTTTAGATGGTTAGTTTTTACATGTGCTTTTGTTAAAGTGATTATTTATTGTCTCTGTATTTCTAGATCTTATTGTGTGTTGTAAATTATGTTTATATTTTAGATCCACCCCGTTGCATAATTACGTCCCTATTAATGAACTTCATCAACTGATAGTGTTTTCATCATGATTTGTAATTGTTGAATGCCCCTTCTATTTGCTTAGATTGTTGCCCAGTGAATGTTTTTAGTTGTTTGGGTTCCTAAATATAATTATCTAACAATAGATTTAGTGGATTTTAATGACTGTTGCCTGCTGGTTCCTTTTATGTAGTAGTTTCATAGCAGAGCTGACTTGTGTTCTGTCTTGGTTTTTTTTTAATGTGATTGAGCATTTTGTTACAATGTTTTTTCCTTTAACTTGATGCTGCTATAGATCAAGGATTGGATATTCAAACCATAAACAATCTTTTGCTACACTATGTGAGACTTGGAGTTTTATTTTTTATATTAATATACAATTCATAGTTGATTTGGCTCTTTGTTTTTAAAATCAACAACCTAATGTGCTTTTATTTTTTCCCTTGGATGGGACGTTGCCATTTGTGAAATTACATGAAGGGCATACAAGTCTTTTTCATGCCCAAGTGTATGCATATGACCCTATGCTTGGACAATTGGTTTGTATTAACCAATAAGATCCACACTATAACTCAATTGTTGAAACAAAGTTGAAATGTTGTTGTTGTGTGGCGTGTGGTTTGGTGCTCTAGTTAGTAGCGGTTTACATCATGTAAAATCAAAGTTTGTTGTTTGCAATAACATTCAAGAAGTATATGAGCAGGGGGCTAGAGTGCAATTTGGCATGTGCGGTCCCTCCGACTGCATTGGCTTTCAGTTTCCTGATTCTCTTGAATTTTCTGATATGCTTATATATTGTCGTCATTGCGCA